ACACACACACACACACACACACACACACACACACACACAGAGGTTCCAAGCCTCTGAGTCAGCTGTGACCATCCAGGAAGGCCGGCACAGTGAGGTTCCTTCAGGGAGTGACCCCCCTGCCCCCATCTCTCCAGCCTCATCCTCCACAACCCCCCCCTTCGCTATCTTTACCCATCCAAGGGCATATCTTTTGTTCCTGCCCTGAGCCCTACTCAATGGCCACTGGAGCCGGTAGCTAAAAACCCATGTGTCCCTACTTAGGCTAAAACTGACTGCGACTTCAGGCCAGCACGCTCAACACAAATGTAGCTGGGGCAAAAGACACTTTGTGGAGAAGATCCCAGCCCGTATATTTACACTCGCCCCCGCCCCCACCTCCCCAGGTCTTTTCCCGGTCCCCAAGCTCATCTGCTAACATAACCATGGCAATGGCAATAATAAAAATAATCCTCGGAAAGGGACTTTCGGGACCAGATAAGCACTCCCCAGACCCCGGCGGCTTTCTGCAATTCTTCTTTGGGACCAGGCATCTGTTCAGGTTGTTGTCACCCGACCACAGGCCCCACTACCCCGAGAATGGCGGATGAGCGAGACATCTGCCAATGAAAGGCATCTGCCAGGGAGGGGGGTCCTTTGGCACACAACGGAGAAACTGACCTTATAAGGCCAGCGCTCCCGAAGGGGACGCGGGGAGGGGAGCAGAGTTCGGGCGGGATCCGTAACCTCCAGGTGAAGCCCCCTTCCCCACCCCCACGCCAGCGGGCACCTCCCCAGACAGGTAGGTAGGTGGGTGGGTGTGTGGGTGTGGGTGTGTGTGTGGGTGTGGGTGTGTGGGTGTGGGTGTGTGTGTGCGCAGAGGGGTCCAGGGGGCAGCGGTCACTTACTTCTCATAGCTCCGATAAGGGAGTTGCCGTCTTTGATCACGTCTTTGATGAATCTGTTGGTCCGCTCCAGCTCCTGCTCGTAGCATTTGAGCCTCTCGCGGAAATCGGGGCTGTCCAGGTAGCAGTCGCTGAACTCGAGCGGGGGGTGCCCCATGGTGCGGGTGCGGATGCGGGTCGGGGCGCGGAGCGGGGCCACACACACTGCAAACAGAGAGAGAGCGAGCGAGTCCAGAGAGGGCGCATCAGCTGCTGGGGCGCCGCACCACCGCGCACGGCACCGCACTGGCGGCTGGGCTCAGGCGGGACTAGGGCCGGGGCCGCCGCTTCAGGCACTCCACAGGAGCCGCGGGCTGCCCCGGGCTGCGAACGCCTCCCTCCCTCCCTCCCTCGGCTGACCCGGCGAGCTACAGCTGTGGGGGCCCGGCCGGCCGCTGCCCAGCGCTCCGCATGCTCCCAGCCCTCTCCCGCCCCCGGCTTCGCCCCGGCCGCCCTGGCGCACAAGCCACCCGAAGGCAGCGGCGGCCGCAGCTAAAGTGGCCTCTCGAGCCCTCCCCGGCTCCTTCCTGGACAATCGCGAACGTGCCACTTCTGCCGGGCCGGGCGGGGGGCGGGCCGGGGCGACCCGGGGGCGGGGCCTTAGTGCCGCCCGCCCCTCCCCGGGATTAGCTGCTAGACAGTCCCCTCCAGCTCCGAAGGCTCCTTTGGTCCTGACCCTAGCTGGCCCCCGCCCGCTTTTCCTCTGCTGCTGGGCTTACTGGCAGCCCCGAGGTCCCAGGGCCCGGCCCGCTCTTAAAGCTAGCGAGCGCCCCAGGCCGAGCCCTCTGGAACCGCCGGCGGCCTCCTTGCCCTTTCCCTAAGGCACACCAGCTAGTCCCCGGGATTCCCGGGCTCCCGACGCGACTCCCTGGCTGCTGGCACGCAAAGGGTTAACGCTGCGCGGGTGGAAGCCCTGCCTTCCTCCGGCGGGCAGGAGGGGTGGAGGAGAGAAAGAGGGAGAGACTGAGACAAACCGAGAAAGCCCCATACAATAGCGGCGGGAGCCCAACGCTTCCCTGCGGAAACTGGGGAGCAGTTGGAGCCCTCGGTCTCCATCTGGAAAGCGAGGCGGTCTGGGAGTTGTAGTCTTTCCGTTTCCCAGACAAAGGACACCACCCCACCAAGAGCATCCCTTCCTTCTCTCCCCGTCCTAATGGAACTCTGCAAAGTCTAAGGGGGCAGGTGCTCCGGCTTCTGGGACAGAAAGCGGTGACCCTGCCTCGGCTTGGCTGTCTTATTTTATATTATTTTCTTTCCTTTTTGGAAGGGACCTCAGAGGCCAGCTTATCCAATCCTCTCCTTTTACAGAGTGGAATCTAAGGACCAAGAGAGGAGAAGTGATTTACCCAGTCATTCAAGGAGTAAGCAGCAGAGTCAGAATTTGAATGCAGGTCCCCTGCCTACAAATCTGGCACACTTTCCACTGTAGGGAAAGGCTACTTACTACATGGCTGCTTTTTTCTCCCTTTCCTTCTGTTTTCTTCCTCTCTTTGTATTCTCTTCTCCCACTGGTTTTCCTCATTTCCCTTTTCATTGGCCTTTGATAAGCCTAGGGCACCCTGGCACCAGTAAACCATGCAGAGCCCCACTGGGGGCCAGCTGGATGCAAAGAGCACTGACCCCCTCCCAGCCCTTGTATCTGACTGAAGTCAAATGGCTCCCTCTGTGCCTCAGTTTCCCTAAACAAGAATTGGAGCTCTCCTAGGGATTCATTGGATTATAGTGGAAGCATCTCTTGACTTGAAAGGAAAAGACCTGGGTTAGAAACCCCTTGTGGCCCCTTAACCATCGGTCTGCATAGCTGGAGGCAAGGTAGTATCATCTTCTCTGAGTTTCATTTTCTTTATATGTAAAGATCAAGTGGGAAAATATTTGTTAAAAAAAAAAAGCACTAAGAGTCTCCCCATTTTCCTCAGGAAAGCTATTGTATGGGCTAGATTGTATAGAAGGCCACACATAAATGCTCCCTCCCTTCTATAAAGTGGGAATGATAATACTCTCTCACTGGGTGGCCGTAAACCTTGAAACACCATATAAACAAAAACTCATAAAAATGGAAAACCAGGTGGGGGTTATTGGCAATCACAAAAATTCAAGGTAGGCAAGGGCTTTGGAGATTATGGATTACAATTCCTTCATTTTATAGATGGGGAAACTGAGGCTCACAGAGGTAAAGAATACAGTGAGTCAGTGTCAAACCTGGGACTGTAATCTAGGTCTCCTGATTTTTTCTAACTTGTTTGGGCAAGTTCACAGTCATCACATTTCATATGACCCAACCCCAATGTAGTCACTGATCAGTAAAGTCAGCGAGTCAGTCAATAAACATGTATTTAACACCTACTATATGCCAGGCACAGTGCTAAGCACTGGGGATACCTCCAAATAAGGCCAAAAACCAGTTCCCATTCTTGAGGAGCTGTTAGTCTGATAAGAGACACAGCATGCAAACAACTGTATAGAAATGACTTGCAGGATATATTGGAAATAATCAGCAGAAGGAAAACATGAGAATTACAGAGGGTAAGGAAAGACTTCCTGTAGAAGGTGGGATTTTAGTTGGGACTTGTAGGAAGCCTGGGAAAAGCCAAGATCTCCAGATCAGGAGGGAGAGAGTTCCAGGAAGGAGAGACAGCAAGTGAAAATGTCCAGTTGGAAGATGGAGTCTCTTGTTTGAGTAATAACAAGGAGGCCAGTATCAGTGAGGCCCAGAGTATGTGGAGGGGAATAAGATGTAAGAAATGGGAAGAGAAAGTTCTGAAGGATTTTATATTTGATGCTGGAAGTGATAGGGAGCCATTGGAATTTATTGACTCCAGAGAATTGACATGGTCAGACCTGTGCTTAAGAAAGATCAATTTGATAGCTGGGTAAAGGATAGATAGGTGTGCAATGGAGAGAAACTTGTGGCAAAGACACAAGGCTATTGCAATAATCCAGGTGTGAGAAGGCCCTGCACTAAGGTGGTGGCCGTGTCAGAGGAGAGAAAGGAGCACATACAAGAGATGGTATTAAGATAAAATCAGCAGGCCTTCTCAATACATTGGATGTGGGGGCTGAGAGAGTCGCCCAATGACACCTGGGTTTTGAGCCTGGGTGACTCATGGCATCCTTAACAGTAATACAAAATTAGGAGGGTTTGGGGAAAAAGAATGGGTTCTGTTTTGGACATATTGAGTTTAAGATGTCTTCTGGAATCCAGTTCAAGATGTCATATAGGGGGCAACTAGGTGGCGCAGTGAATAGAGTACCGGCCCTGAAGTCAGGACAACCTGAGTTCAAATTTGACCTCAGACACATAAAAACTTACTAGCTGTGTGACTCTGGGCAAGTTACTTAACCCCCAATTGCCTCACAAAAAAAAGTGAAAAAAAAGATGTCATATAGACAGACTAGATTATATTCCAGACTAGAGGTCAACAGAGAGGTAAGGGCTGGATAAGTGGATTTGAGAATCAACAGCATAGATGTGATCGCTGAATCCATAGGAGCTGATGAAGTTACCAAGCAAAATAGTATAGAGGGAGGAGAGAAGAAGGCCCAGGACAGTGCGCTGGAGGCCGCCCAAGTTTCGTGGATGTGAACTGGACAAAGATCCAGCCAAGGAGAATAAGAAGGACTAGGTCAGATAAAGGGGAGGATAACCTGGGTAGAGTCATGTCCCAAAAACCTGAGATAAGAGAATATCAAGGAGAATGGGGTAATCAACAGTATCAAAGGCTGCAGAGAGGTCAAGTCAAGGAGGAGGGTCGAGAAAGGGTCATTAGATCTGGCAATTCAATCATTGGTAATTTTGCAGAGAACAGCTTTGGTTGAATGATGAGGTTGGAAAGCTAGACTGCAGAGTTAAGAAGAGAGTGAGAAGGAACGAAATGGAGATACCTATTGTAGATGACCTCTTTTTGGCCACAAAAAGAAGCAGAGATAGGATGATAGCTGGCAGGGATCAAGTAAGGGTTCTGGAAAATGGGGGAGACTCGGGCATGTTAGTAGGCAGTAGAGAAGTGAAAAATAGTAGATAAGTGAAAAAGTGAGGATGATTGGGGGGGGGGGCCAATCAATCAGGGTATGGGTGAAAGTATGTCATCAGAAGGGAGCCAGGTCTCAGGGAGAGCCACAAGTTGAAAGGAGTGGGAAAAGAAAAAATTTAAGAGAAAAACAAAGGGGCAGCTAGGTGGTGCAGTGGATAGAGCACCGGCCCCGAAGTCAGCAGGACCTGAGTTCAAATTCAGCCTGAGACCAAACACTTGACACTTACTAGCAGTGGGACCCTGGGCAAGTCACTTAACCCCAATTGCCTTAAAAAAAGAGAGAGAGAGAAAAACAAGTTTGTTACTATGGAGCAAGTATCTGTTGTGAAAGACAATGAATGATTTTCCACTGGTAAGTGGAAATACTATAATTATTAGTGGCAATGGTGTCACTAATAGTATAAATTATCTTGTAATTCACTTGGTTGAGGGAGGGCTCTTCTCCACTATAGAAAGAGGATTAACAATGCTGGCCGATGCAGTGAAGAGCATAACGTCTAGAGAAAGGCCAAGACTCTCAAGACGGTCTCTATTAATGACCATCGAGAACATTTTCAGGCATAGACTTATTCAGAGGTTATAATTATCTCTAGATAATACCATCCTATGACAGAAGCTAGAAAAATACAGCCTAATGCAGAAGGTGGGAGAGAAGGGAAACTTAGCATACTCTACTGTTGCCTCTTAAGATCTAAAGAGCTTCTTCAAATCGAAGTGCTGCAGTTTAGAAAAGTTTCATTTTTGCATTTAATTCTATGACCTTTTCCCCTTTAAGACTGATTTAGGTAAAAGCAAAATCTGATTAGATTTCTACACTTACAGAGTATAAGTAGAAAAGTGCCATCGTTAAGTGAAGGTGGGACAGCGTTTCTCCTACATCTCCTTCTCATAATTACTTCTTGAAATCCTTCCTATCCTTTAAGATCTATCTCAGATATTTCTAGGTCATATGCAAGATCAAATGGAGGATGAGCCATTTTCTCCAATCCTCATGACCTCTCAAATCTCTTGAAAATAGAAATTATGTACAAGAGATAAAGCCTTTTCAACTGTCTCCACAGTCTAGGACACCAAGAACCCAAATGAGGTAAAGAAAAAAAAAAGAACTAATAGCAGAGAAGGCTAAT